ACGCACACACGCACACACGCACACACGCACACACGCACACACGCACACACGCACACACGCACACACGCACACACGCACACACGCACACACGCACACACGCACACACGCACACACGCACACACGCACACACGCACACACGCACACACGCACACACGAACACACGCACACACGCACACACGCACACACGCACACACGCACACACGCACACACGCACACACGCACACACGCACACACGCACACACGCACACACGCACACACGCAAACACGCACACACGCACACACGCACACACGCACACACGCACACACGCACACACGCACACACGCACACACGCACACACACACACGCACGCACGCACGCACGCACGCACGCACGAACACACACGCACACACACACACACACACACACACACACACACACACACACACGCACAAACGCACACACACACACACACACGCACACACGCACACACGCACACACGCACACACGCACACACGCACACACGCACACACGCACACACGCACACACACACACACTCACTTTACCAACCCCCGGCGCAGAGGCGACTCCAGCGCGAGTAAAGCAGCGGGACGCACACGCACACACACACACACAAACACAAACACACAGGCAGGACGACAGTTTTGCGTGGAAACCGACCACCCACGGTGTCACGAATCGGAGCCACGCCAAAAGCGGGCCAGCACGGACTCCAGCGCGGACACCAGCAGTACCAACTCGCAATACCCTGGCTGCCCGGGCATCAAGCGCAGCAGGGAGGACAGAACCTCCTGTGACGGAGCTGGCGGCAGAGGCCAGCCCAGGGCGGTCAGCCCAGGGCGGCCACCAGCGCGGCCCGCTGATCGGCAAGTGCAGGACAAAGGAGAACTGCATGCGCGACCCCAGCAGCAACGAACTGCCCGCAGATTGCACAGGTTTGCACTCGTGCCCGGGAGCGGCGGCTGCTCCCCCTCCTCCTCCTCCTCCTCCTCCTCCTCTTCCTCCTCCTCCTCCCTCCTGCTCCCTCCTCCTCCTCCTCCTCCTCCTCCTCCCCCTCCTCCTCCTCCTCCCCTGCCCCCCCCCCCCCCGGGGAGAGCCCGGGCGGGGAGGCCACGGCACCCCGCCGCCGCGCCACGCCCGGAGCGCCCCGCCCACAGGACAAGAGCTGCGGGGTGCTCGCCCTGGTCTGTTTGGACCTGCGCAGCCGCGGCAAGATCGGGCGCGCAGCCGCCCCTCCTCCGGCCGCGCGCGGAGGGGGGCATATACAGTCGGGGCACGGAGGACGGAACCCTTTTCGTTGGGGAGGGGCTCGGTGTTCCTCAGTTGTTTTGCAGTTCGCCTTTGGTTTTGCTTTGGGTTTCGATGGGAAATCGAAATTCAACTTATGGGAAAAAGAGGCCTCGTTCCTTATTCGGGGTTCCTTAGGTCAACGCCCCTTCTGTAGGGGGAGGGGGTAGGGCTCCTTAGAGGAGCACCCCTGCCTCCCAGAAGGCCCGGGGCCCCTCTTGAGGTGCAGGGCCGGCGCCTTCTGAGGAGCGGCCTGCTCATAAGAAGCCTTCCCCCCTTCCTCTGCCCCCCTGTGCGCGCCCCTTCCACGACGACGACGACGACGGCGACGACGACGGCGACGACGACGACGGCGACGGCGACGGCGACGGCGACGACGACGACGGCGACGGCGACGACGACGACGACGGTGGCGACGGCGACGACGACGACGACGTCGACGACAACGACGCCTCCTGTTGCGGGCCCAGTGGTCGCCTAGGGGATCGGCTACAGAATCGATTCGCCCCGAAATCGACTTTGCCGTCGGACCTGCATCTCGTAGCATCCTGCGCATCGCTCGTAGATTCGACGGGAAAACCAAGTCTGGGGGAAACCCCAGTCTGCAGTCGATCCCACAGGCCCAGTGGGTTCCCCGGATGGACGCATGCGATGCGACAGCAGCGGCTTGAGAGCGCTTGGGTTTGGCACCCCCCCGCTACAGCCCCTCAGGCCGCGTGCTTCGCGCGTGGCCGACTCAGGACGTGCGTTGACCCAGTGGGTGCTCACCCCGCCTGGTTGCTACGACGAACCACTGCACCGCCCTGCGTCGTGCTGAGGGGCTTCCGTGGACGTTAGCACACGTTGGCACGAAGATCAAGTCGGGCGCGTCCCTCTGCAGGAGGAATAATCAAACATAGTCATAACAATAGTCTGGGGAAGATTTTTCTACGATGTTTGATCATTCTGTTTTTTTGTTTTGACTATTTTGATACTTCGTCGAACATCCGCCTGTAGGGGGACACGCTCAACCTAACACTAAGACACGTTTTGAAGATCATCGAAGGTTGGAGGGAGGAGAAGCCGTCGACTTTCATGGTTCGACCTGTTATTGGGCCCCTTTCGCCCCTTTCGGGCGGCCTGCGGCGTTCCGGCGCCGATGTTTGACAGCGTTCGCCCCCCCATCCCCCATTCGAGATGTGTCGGTCTGAGATTTGGGAGCCCTTCCGTTGGTTCTTGAAAGACTTCCCGCCCCGGGAGACATTTCCAGCAGCTGCGCATCGTCTGGAGCAGTCCTGGGGTGCCCTGGCCGTCCCGATGGGCTTCCGGGGGCCCGAGCTGTAGCCCGAAAGACCCCCCCTTTATCACTCCTTGCTCCACTCTTCTCGCTCCCTCCCTCCCTCCCTGCCCGCCCGCGTTCACGCTCCTCCATCCTCTCCCCCGCATCCCTCCTGCCGTGCTCCTCTGGGTGCAGCCTGCAGCAGGGCTGGACCTGGACGCTGTTTTGCTGAACTTCGGCTGTGTCTTGTTTGTCGACGTTGGGAGGGACGTGCCGGAGACCAGGCAGAGCCAAACGAGCACAACAAAACGAAAGCAGCACGAACGCCAACGTTTCGGTCCAGCCCTGACCTGCGGGGCCACGGTGCATACCCGCCGCTCACCCGCTCGTTCGTGCTTGCCTTGGGGCGTCCCCCACGTCGCTGCCCCTGGCGGTGGGAGAGCGCTCTCCCGCCGCGGCACGCGGGCAGCTCGGCGTGGCGAGCCGGGTGCGAGCAGCGCGGGTGTTAGCTCACCTGGACGTGTGTGTCTCTCGTGCTCTCTTGTTCTCTCGCCCTCTTTCTCTCTTTTTTTTTTTTTCTATCTCTCTCTCTCTCTCTCCTGTCTCTCGCTCTCTCTCTCTCTCTCTATCGCTCCCTCTCTCGCTCCCTCTCTCTCTCTCCTCCTCTCGCCCGTTCCGTGCTAATTAGGCTGGCCAGCGTGGACCCCGACCAGCGCGTTTCTGCCGAGACGCGCCGTGGCTGTCGAGTGGGGGGGAGCAGGAGGAGGAGGACGAGGAGAAGGATGATGAGGAGGAGGAGGAGGAGGAGGAAGAGCAGGAGGAGGAGGAGGAGGAGGAGGAGGATGAGGAGGAGGTGTTAGGGGCTGTCTGGTGTGCCGCCTCTCGCCGGGCAGCTGCCTGTGCTCACGAGGTGCGCGCGGGTGCCGCCGACCCTCCTGCCTGCTCGAGGGCAGGGCGAGCGCGGGCCCCGCCTCCGTCGCCTTCCACGTCTGTCCACTGCTCCTCCCTCTCCTCCTCACTCCTCACTCCTCACTCCTCACTCCTCTCCTCCTCCTCCTCCTCCTCCTCCTCCTCCTCCTCCTCCTCCTGTGAGTTGTACGTGAATGATCTATGCGCGCTCGGAATTAGTTTTTCGGCTCAGACGCATGAGGCCAGATGTCGGCATCGGTCTCTTCGCTGTCGGACTTGCGAGGGCTCGCTTCGCTAGCTTCACTTTCCGCACGACACCAGTGCCCAGACTGTTTCTGTGATTGCCCTCGGCCTTCGGAGTGTCCGAAGGCTCCTGACTGTGTGTGTCCGCCGCCGCTGGAACGACCTCCCGTGTGTGAGGTGCCGCCTGATTTCTTCAACAGGACGGGCTTCGTCGCACCCACGGACGACACCGTCTCCCTTGCCATCATCGGCCTCTTGGGAGTGTTTCTCGGAGCAGCGGTCGGAGGTCTGCTCACTCGGTTTTGTTGTCCTCGTCGTGTTGCTGCCCCTCGTCGAGGAGGGTACGGTCGCATTGAACAGTGATGGCGGGGGCCGTGGAGGCTCTGCCAGGTGGCTATGCCATCTACTGGTACGAAGGGGACGATTATGGTCACGAACGGATTTTGTTGAGGGAAGTTAAGTCACTGGATGACAGACGTATCTGGGTTGGGGCCTCGCCTGACTTCGATGTCTATGCGGAGGAGTGGAGCACCACGGGAGATCGCGGGCCCATCAGAGTAGAGCTGTTGAAAGGTCGCATTGTGCCAAGGGGTTTTCCTAGGCCCATCTACCGCTTCGATCAGAGGGTTCCCTGGGACAAGTTCGCGGAGCTTAGGGCCGAGGCGTCGCAGGTCATCTTCGACGAAGGGCTCGAGGAGATCGCTCGCGCGAGAGTGCAAGATGACACGCTCGCGATCAGGAATTTCCGTCGGCCATTCCTTGGATCACGAGGTCCTGCTCCTCCTCTGCCGCAGCATGCAGATGGGCAGGCTGAGCTTGCCGACGCTCTTGGGAGTGACGAGGTCTGGGTCGTGTCTGAGCCCGTCTTCGACGGGGACCAGGAGGTGGCGAGGATCGGCTCTCAGGTCGCCAAGGAGTCCGTGGCGAGCAGGCTGGGGAACCGCGGATTCGCCAAGTTTGGCTCGGTCGTCGCGGCGCTCGAACGGATCAAGGTGGAGGAGCTCGACGGCTACTTCGCGGCCCGCAAGAACCTGCTCCTGGTGGGCCTGGGAGGCACTCACACGCCCGAGGAGCGAGAGGGAGCCCCTGGCTCGCCCACAGGCCTCCAGGCCCTTCGTGGGGCTCTTGCAGGCCCACAGCTCCCTGGAACGGGTGAGGAGCCTGACAAGAAGGCGGGCGAGGACGTCCGCACGCTGTCGGTGAAGTTCAACGCCTTCAACCGCAGGGAGCGCGTCTGGGTGGACTCGGTCAAGGAGATGGTCGAGGACGCCTTCTCGGACTGGCCTTTGGATGGTCCTCGCACGTTCTTGCGGTTGATGATGTCGTTTGCTCAGCTCGCGATGGTGCCCGCGTTCTGGCTGGAGCGCCACCTACAGACGGCGGGTTGGAGCGAGAACGATCGCTCTATTCATGAGATGCGGGTGATGGCGGAGGTTTTCGAACTGGCTATCTCTTACGACCAGCTGAATGTGGCGTCGCTCGCGGCCTTCGAGAGGTTGGGGCGGAGATGGCAAGCTATACTTGAGGCTCATGGTAAGAAACCCATGAACCCGAACTACGAGATTGCTGATAAGTTCTCGGGCTACAATCGCCGTGCACGGCTTGTGGCGCCGGCGCTTCGCACCCACGTGGCCAAGGAGGTGCGAGACGAGGCTGAGATCGACAAGCAGACTAGCAAGGCCAAGGCTCTGAGGGACGAGGCCACGGTCGCCCTCAAGCGCGGGAAGTCCGCTGGGAAGGGCAAGGACACGGGGGATAGCAAGGATGAGCGAGGCCTCTTTTCTTGCCAGCAAGACCGTTGATAGTGCGCGCCGCAGCCGCCGCGCGGCATGCACGCTGACAGGCGAGAGTGATGCGCAGGAGGCACGACAGGTGCCGCTGTTTCCGCTCGAGTTTTGCGACCACTCAGCTCCTCCGTCGACGCGTCTCTCGAGAAGGTGCAGACGGAGAGCGAACCTCAGGAGCCATCAGTCGCGTGAGTTCGGGGAGGTTTTGACGGGCCTCAATTGACTATATTCCCGAGCTGCGAGCCCTCTCGTTCGCCAAGAAGTGGCGGGCGAAATTCATGATTTTGTCGCGGGGCGAGTTGCCCAACAGCCGCCTGTGCCGCCTTTTTTGGATAAGGAGGGAGCCGTGCGCGAGCTCCTCCAGAGCAAGCGTGGTTATGACCACGCAGCTTCCACGGTCGTCGAGTTCGATCGAGCCCTTGTCTCTCTGCCCGAAGGAGTCCAGGACAGGAGGTTACTTCAGGACTTGGTTTCTCAGGAGGACAGGGAGGCGGTGGTGAACTTTAGGGAGAGCATGATGAGAGATGTGAAGGAAGTGATGCAAATGAGAGACTACGGCGAGTCTATTAACCCGTATGTTGACCAGAAGCTTCGCACTCGACGGCGCGAGTACGTTCGCTTTCTGAAGATGTTGCACAGGCGCGGTCTCATCAGGTGGTCGACTACGCCCGCAGAGATTGCGACCCCGTTTTTTGCCCGAGACAAGGATGGAAGACAGCGACTTATCATCGATGC